TAGGTAAATGGCAGGAATTTGGAATTCTTGCATTTGCGGTAAGGACTTGAGATTGTAAAATGAGTATCACTGGAATTATGTTCAATCGATCTATTTCACAGAGTAAAGATCATAGACAAAATTAGTATGCATAATTGGTGTATGGCATAACTAATGTTTGGAAAAACATAGTGTGCATACTTGGTGTATGGCATGACTAGTGTTTAGAAAAACATAGTGTCCATGCTTGGAGCATGGGACAACTATTGTTTTTAATTCAAGTATAAAGTTGATAGTCTGAAATAGTATGCAATAAATGATGGGTAATCAATATGGTGGTAAATAAAAGATGTTTTATTTGTCTTCATAAGTTCTGAGACCATATTAGATTTGATTATTCATGTGTTTCACCTTGCCTGTTTTGACTTCCAGAATAACAAGGTCATTCTTCCCGAAGGACTAAGTTATTCAAACCATCCAAAGTTGGTCATATGTTGGAAGTAGATATGAATCAAGACTATCATGAAGTTGGATTTCAGATGTACAACGTATGGGACATAGCAAGGATTACTGCAACATTCATGAGTGCTCATAAGTTCTGAGTATTAGATTCAACCCATGCTCACTGGTATCACTTCATGGAATTTATCTCGAGTGATCGTGAGACGATAATATCATATAAGTCTTCAAACCTAGAGATATGACTTGCTACCTATAAGTTCTTTATACATTAATTCTACGTAAATGCATTGGTAACTCGATGTTATAAAATGTACCTTTGTGTATGATTCAACAAGTAGTAGAACAAGAATATGAGTCAAAGTTTATCTATTCCTTCTTAGATTAGAAGCGATATGTTCGCCCCTCGATGATTTTGTGTTGACCGATGTACCGGGCTCGGTCAGAACTAAGTTGATGTGTTCAAATAAGTTCTACGTCAAACAAATCGGAAATCGAGAAACAAACTATTGGACAATAAGTAAGACATTGTTCCATGTATTTGTCCGGCTGATATCTAGAACAGAGGATTATATGATCACTTATCTTAATTGGCGTATCATCATCTTCTCAGTTTTTAGATACCTTGAAAGAGCTACAATTGCTGATCGGTTCCTGAAGTTATTCTTGCAGATATAGTTATTAGACTTATCCAAGTGGGAGACTATTGGATTATGTGTCTAAGTTCATAACTATTTTTGGGAAGTACTTGACCCGGTTGGCATGGTCCATTTGGGTTGCATGGCACCATGCATTTGCATACACTAAAATGAGAGAAATAACACTTAAGGTTCATTAATATATTATAAGTTCTAATATGTTAATAATAGTATTTGATTATTATTGATAAAGAATTAATTTGGAATTAATTAAGTGATCAAAATAAGACTAATTAAATATATGTGTTGATTGTGTAAATCACCCGTTACTTGTATAGTAGGTTAATGCTCCATGGATTATCAAGCTGGGATAAAACCCATAGGATGCTCCATGGTGTCTTTAAACCCATGGATCATGGAAATGAAGAGCCATGTCAAGTTAGTGTTTACATGGTGTAACATTACTTATGACATACTATAAAAGGAATATGTGAGGAACCAAAATCGCAACTAGTGAGAACAAGAGGGCATAGCCGAATTTAGAAGTGTTCTATTTCTCTCAAGGCTATTCCAAGTGTATTTGGTGTTGTGTGAGACATTTGAGGCATCACACTTGAGGTGCTAGGCTCACAAGATTCTCAAGGAATCTAAGCAACCAAGGGTATGTATTTCTTACTATCTTTTATGTTTTAAAAGTTCCCCATGATATGATAGATAGGTTAAGAACCTTGGAAAATCAATTTTGCATGTATGATAGTAAAACATAGATCCAAGGTTTCTAGGGTTGCATCTACACCTCAGGAGTGTTAAAATGCTCAAAACCCTTCAATTAAACCCTGCCAAGTGTCCTTTCGGAGTCGAGGACGGTCAATTTTTGGGATACTATGTGACAAAGGAAGGAATCTAGCCAAGCCCAATCAAGGTAAATGAGCTAGAGGAGACACATTCACCCTGCATGCTGAGAGATGCACAAGCCTTGAATGGAAAGTTGATCATGCTCATTCGGTTCATCTCCAAGTCGGCTTAAAAAGCCTTGCCACTGTTCAACACGCTGAAAGGATGCAAAGAGAAAAACAACTTTAAATGGACCGCGGAAGCTGAATCGACACTGCAAAAGATAAAGAAAGTACTCCACGCACTCCCCACTCTGTCCAACCCGATACCCGAAGAGATATTGCAAGTATACCTGTCCACATCAAAACATGAAATTTCGTTGGTACTAACGGTCGACAAACAAGGATGCCAACTTCTGGTTTATTTTGTGAGTCGAGCACTACAAGGACCAGAGATGAACTACCCGGTCATCGAGAAACTGGTGCTCGCCTTAGTCTACGCAGCACGAAGACTCCGTTGGTACTTCCAGGCCCACCAAATAGAGGTATTGACAAATTGCCCGATCAAACAAATACTCCTAAAGTTAGAGACGTGAGGACGACTTGAGAAATAGGCCATAGAGCTAGGAGAGCACGACATCACCTACCACCCCAGAGTAAGCATGAAAGGGCAAGCCCTAGCGGATTTCCTGCTCGAAGTCCCAGGAGAACTCCAATAGGAAGCAACCAAGGCAAACAACCAAGTGTGCTCTGAGAAAATGGCCAACCAACGGTGGACCCTTCACACAGATGGGGCCTCTAGCAAAGAAGGATCAGTTGCAGGGTTGATCCTAACTAGCCCAACGGGAGAAGAACTCACATATGCCCTACGCTTCGATTTTCACATGTCCAACAACGAGGAAGAATATGAATCCCTCTTGGCCGGCCTCAGATTAGCAGTAACAATCAGGGGAGTTTGAAACAAAAAACAAGCGAGTGGAGAAATATGTCAAAGCAGTATAATAAATCTCAAGGGGAAATAATAGGAGAGCAGATGCTCTCAGCAAACTAGCATCAACATGCTTCGGACACCTTTCAAATGAAGTATTGTTTGAGGTACTGAAAGAAAGGAGTATCGACGAGAAGCAGGTCAACTCCCTATCAATAGCACAACCCAACTGGATGACACCCATCATAGACTACCTACAGCATGGTATACTTCCCGACAACCACACAGAGGCTCGGAAGACGAGGATACGAGCCCCACAGTACGCGATGATAAAAGGGACTCTGTATAGGAAGTGCCATACAGCCTCGTGGCTCAAGTGCATAGATGACACAGCAGGAAAGCTAGCCCTAAAGGAAGCCCACGCAGGGTCGGTCGAAGCTCACGAGGGAGCAAGAGTGCTCACGAGCAAAGTATTACGCATTGGCCTCTACAGACTAGATATACACCAGGACGCGGTCGAGCTAACACGGACCTGCTTGGAGTGCCAGACTTTCTCGCCAATGCAAGAAGTTTCGCCATCAAAGTTAACAAGCATAGTTAGCCCCTGACCTTTTTACCAATGGGGAATCGATATAGTCGGTCCCTACCCAGAAGCACCTGGGAAAGTAAAATTCTTAATTGTGGCGGTCGATTACTTTACAAAGTGGATAGAAGCAGAGCCAGTGGCATGCATCAATGGGAAGCAAGTAATCAAGTTTGACTGGAAAAACATCGTGAAAAGATTTCGGATACAAGGGTCCTAATTAGCGACAATGGCCTACAATTCGCAAAAAAACCCCTTTAGAGATTGGTGTAAAGAAAAGGGACTAGAGTAAAGGTTCACATCTGTGGTGCACCCTCAGGCTAACAGGCAAACAGAGGTGTTAAATAGGAAACCGGTACAAGGGATCAAAAATCGACTGGGCAAAGAAAAAGGAAATTAGGTAGATGAACTATCGGAGGTTCTCTGGTCATATCGAACCACACCACGAACCAACACGAAAGAGACACAATTCTACCTAGCTTATAGAGCTTAAGCAATGCTACTGGCAGAAATAATGATAGGATCAATACGCACAGAATACTGTAGGGAGCAGGAAAACGACGAAGGCCTGAGGGAAAACTTGGACCTCTTGGAACAGTGACGCGAACGCTAAAGCATACGCCAAGCCGCCTATAAGAACGCAATGGAAAGGTACTACAATCAGCGAGTAAGAAATAAAGCATTCCGAGTAGGAGACTATGTTTTACAAAAAAATAAAGTCAGCCATGCCCAACCCTAGGGGAAGTTAAGCCAAACCTGGAAAGGAACATACAAGGTAGTCGAGGCACAACGCAACGGCTCCTACTCCATTGAAACTCAGGAGGGGAGACAGATCCCCAGGACATGGAACACAAGGAACTTGAGAAAGTTCCACATTTGAATGATGGCAAAACCATATACAGAAGGGAAGGTGAAGGTGTTCAGTTTTAAAGAAAAGGAACAACTCCCTAGATAGTTGGGAAAAAATAAAAACATCCCGTGGTCGGACTGATAACCCGGACCAAGAGCAGTCCCTTAGGGAACCAAAATATGAAATAGTTGAACATAAGAATTATATATATAAACATGCATTTTCTTTAGTACGTGATGTAATAGACACATTCTGCATGCTAGCAAAACACAGCGTAAAGGATACTTAGTGAATCCTAGATGCAACCCATGCAAGACCAAGAGCATCATACATACGAACGTATACAAGTCTAACATAAAGTTAGCCCAACATAAGGCATGATCAGATAAACAAAATAGCAAAACAAAAAAAGCCAAACTATTGTTTGTTCACGAAGACTTAAAACCATAACAAAGGCCTTAGGGTCCACAAGGCATCCAAAAAACAACATGATACAAAGAAAAAAGAAGAAGGAAACGTCAGTAACAACTTTTCACACCCTGAAAGGGTAGCTCTAAACAACTTCTCCAGCACCATCACTGCCACTCCCACCAACGCCATCACCGCCATTCCCACCTGCACCATCTGGAAAAAGGAAATAAAAGGTCCGCTTCCATGATTTCCTCTATATTGAATCTCTTAAGAATAGCTTATATAGTCATGATTCAATTCAAATCCAATAACTTTTTATTTATTTCGCATTTTTCAGATCTGATTGGACCAATTGAGAAGTAGGAAGACTTTGGCGATTCATATCATAATAGGTAGAATATTTATGTCCGCCACTCCCACCAGCACCATGACTACCACTCCCACCAGCACCATTACCGCCACTCCCATCAACTCCATCACCGCCACTCCCACCAGCACCATTACCGCCATTCCAGCCAACACCATCACCACCCGTCCCTACACCTAACCCACCCACACCTTCCTCAAATCATCAAATATACACAATGCCCTCACCCCATCAACATCCAAATGACCTAATCCAAGCAAACCAACAAAATCCATAGTTGCGAAAGCCAGTAAAGCATCATCCAAGGCTGAAGAATGGCTAGACCGTCAGTCGCTAGCCGAAGGATTGTACATCCCGGCATCAACCTGAGCTTTCAAATTTGCCCAACCCGACTCCTCGCCAACAACAAAAGCAGCAAGACAAATGCGACTAATGCAACCAGTGAACTCATGGTGCTCAAGGAGTTTGTCCATCACACATACAAGACCCACCTGGAGGAGCCAACTACGGTCCGCCCTCAACACCACTATCTCCCGCTCGCGATCGACAATGTATCACTCCAAGCTCTCTTTATGAATCATCAAACCTTCATTTTCCTGGGTCAAGGACTCCACTTGACCCTCCAAAACACCACACATATCCTCCAACACCAACCTCCCCAAAACCAAAGACCTGTTCTCATCCTCCAGCCGAACAACCATAGCACTTAAATCTGCCACCTTACTCCTCAAGCTAGCTTCAGTCTCGACCAGTGAAGAATTCACATGTTCCAAATCGTCAAACCGTTGCACATGACGGGACTCGGCAGCAAAATATGGCATAGCCTGCATAGCGGTGTATGCAAGGTTGTACTCCAAAACAACATTGCACATGGAATCCATCTCATCCAAGGTGGCTGGAGAGAGAGCATGACGGGTAAAATCTAAAGCAGCAGAGCGCACAGACAAATGAGAATCAGGTCGCAAACTCCATCCCGGGATAAACACAAGTATAGCAGGGGGAGACCCCTGAAACAACTGCTCCGGACTACTCCATGGAGATGGAGGATCAATACCCTCATACTACTGAAATTCATCACCAGGTATCACCAACACATCCCCTAGATCGGAGGGAGGAGAAGATAACAAGCGTATAAGATTGTGACGCTGCATTACCCACTGCCCACCCTCGGGCACTGGTCTGCTCATTGCCTGCACGACTTTCCTTTTTCCGGTAATCCGATGAGTGCTGGTTACTATCCCAACCTTTCTATATACTACGTCATTAGCGGCCGACCTAGTAGGACCAGGAGATGCAGTCGTAGGTGGAACAACAGTGTGCGAACCCGAGCGGCTCTCCGATGCGGTTGAACTACCCACGGGATGAGGGGATACCAGGATAACAGTAGACAAGCAGTGGGGCGAGGTAAAGTCTCATACAGAGGCACTGCACAGTGCTCCAGCTTCCCCTAGTAGCGACCTCGTAGTACAGAATCCATAGAAACAGAGCATTCGACACCTATTAAGCAAAAACATATATGAAAAAAATGGGGGACAAAAGGAGAAAGGAAGAAGGAGAAAGAAAGAATAAAGGAGAGACCAACTTACCCTTTGAGATGGTGTAGAACACAGGCATCTCCCCCTGGGAGCACCAACTAGGACTCATTCCGACACCAGCAAGAAGAACCTCTGACATCACATCAACATCCACCTGAAGAGAACGCATGAGATCTCCAGTCGCCTAGTTATGAGGAAACAACTTAGAAATAGTTCCTGAAGGCATCGCCGCCCGAGGATGCTCACCGTCAAGCAACTCTCGGTTAACCCACAACCACCAGTCTTGCCAATTCTTTGGAGCTTTACTGTCAGTAACAAGATTATCCCCCCCCCCCCCGACGGGCAGAGAAAGTATATTTGTCATTGGTGGCAGCAAACTGGAATAAGTACTTGAAGACGAAGTAATCGGGCATGATGTCGTTAGCACGACATATCATTTCGAAAGCTACCACCTTGTGAACAACACCGGGAGTCAGCATCTGCACACTACACCCACAACGGCGGAGTGTCTTCTCCTGAATGTCGGTCAACGGGAGACGAAGACCAGCGTCAAAATTCTTCAGGTAAACACCCACCTTCCCGGGAGGAGGTCAAGTAATCAAAGAGCCGGAGACAGGAAATTCCACCACGTCAGACGGAGTAAGACCATACGCCTCTTGAAGTGTGACAAACTCAGAAGAACTAGGGATTGAACCTTGAGTGATAGCCATGGCGGAAAACAGAGAGAAAAAGAAAGAGGAGGGTGAAAAGCAGGGTGAGAAATAAAAGAGAAAACTGTTTGAAGAGCAATAAAAGGAAAAAAGGCAGGATCTGCGAAAATATCTGACATACGCACGTTGAAACGTCACATTGCCGGAAATGAAGTGACAGCCGAGTGAAACAACGACATGTGTACCAATAGTTAAGTCCAAAACATCATATTTAGGCATTATATGCTATGACTACTAGACTGGGGGACTTGATGAAGCGCCCCTAAAGAGCGGGCCCAAGACAGGAGAGCCTCGACAAGGCACCTCCGGTGGGAGCCGATTCAGCGACACCAGACTCCCGCGAGGCGACCGCACAAAAGGCTCACCCTCACCAAAATATTGTATTTTAGCCACAGCCTGGTAACAACTGCTCCAGGCGACAAAACACCCAGACATAGCACAATCTCCTGGACTAATCACCAGACTGAACACGAGTGTGGAGCAGGACTCCTCAATAAGAACGACCGATCCTATCGAGATTGTAGTACCGGTCCCTAGTACGGACCGAGGAAGATCTCCGGTATAAGAGGACCTCACCTTAGCCCTGACAAGGTAAGTCTTTCCTTTCCAGCCTTATACCTCCACACTCTAACCTTCAACATACTAACTTGACCGTCAAAGCGTCTTTCCGGGACCTCCTCCCCGAGAGCAGTTGACGTGTTTCTTCCTTGTGTGACCTCTCAGGCTTAAGGACCGGTGAGTTCTACTTACGACAAGTGGTTTGGAGCCAGGTTGCATCAATAGTTTTCCTCTATGCACAAATTTAAGGGGGAGAATTACAAATCAAACAAAAAAATCAGAAAACCAAGAATTCAAAAATATTGTGTGCTAAGTTTTCTTTTAGTTTTGTTTTTATCTCAAAAAAATTCTTTTTCTTGAAAAGTGAACTCAGATGTAGATGAGACTCATGGAGACTGTATCGAGATTTTTTTAGCCAAGACTTCATCCGTGATCATTGAAGAATTTTGATTCGAAGGAACAAGAAATGAAGATTATTCTTTCAACATTCAATCTTTCAAACCCAGAAGCAAGGTGAAGTTGACTTGAAGATTATGTGACAAGTTGCATTGAAGCCACCTCAATCAATTTGCTTGTATCTAAGAACCTTCTGAAGTGATCCAGAAGATTTGATCTCTCTGATATTCTCTCCGAAGATTCTCAAGCTAAAAGCAACAAATTTTAAGAATCTCTACATGAAGCCTACTCACCCAATGTGTGTTCACTGTCAAATTTTGAAGAGAAGCCCAACTGTTCAAGATGAAGTCACTCATATAGAAGATTCATACATTTATCTTGAAGCTGTGAAGAAATCGAATAGAAAAGCTGAAGCCAAGATCCAAATGAAGATTAACAAGAAAAGCCAGCTACACTTTTAGGGGGAGCTTGTTGGGTCAAAAGAAAAGAAAGCTATAAACCAAGGGGGAGATTTTTGGGTCAAAAATATTGTTATACATTACTTTTCTAGGCAATTGTAATTTTTCATGTAGGATCGAAATCTGTTCACGACCAAGGTAGGTGTTTATGGTCGTAAACCTATTCATGGCCCATGTTCCAAATAAATAGATGTTAGATGATAGAAGGAGTTAACGGTCAAGGAGAGGATCATATTGTAGAGAGAGAAAATAGAGAGAACAATAGAGTGTGTGTGAATCTAGTGTTGGATTATCATTCATATCATACAAACATTGAAGATTCATCTTATTCTTCTCCGCCTTCTTCTTATTTTGATCTTGCATCATCCACTTGATTGGGATTCCGCACCATCAAGCAGATCTGATTGATACTCAAGCTAAATTTGGGACTTACACCTCCCGAGGGTTACCACACATACGAAAAGTCGAATTCAAAATCGACTTAATCGCAAAAGCAGCCTTCGTAGCAAAGTCTCCATACAGACTGGCCCCAGCAGAAATGCAAGAACTCTTTATTCCAACTACACAGAGTATTAAGACAGTGGATTCATTAAACCAAGCTCCTCACCCTGGGGAGCCTGAAGAAAGATGGACCTGTTAGGATGAGGACTGACTACCAGGAATTGAACAAGCTGACCGTCAAAAACCGGTACCCGTTTTCCTAGGATTGATGATCTGTTTGACCAATTACAAAGGGTCTGATTTCTTCTCAAATATTGATTTGCGATCAGGGTACCATCAACTTAGAGTTCAGGAAGAAGATGTCCTTATAACAATGTTCAGAACCCTATATGGCCATTAGAAGTTTGCAAATTATGCCATTCGGATTAACCAATGCTCCAGCAGTATGCATAGGCAGACATCCATAATTGTTTTGAGTGCAATCAGCCAGAGCGTTTTAGGAAGAACTGCCTGCAACTAAAGCTTCAGGGTGGCAATGGAAGGGTACTTATGATCACTGCAGGAGAGGCTCTCCCGAAACCACCTGTGGTTATCGGTATGTTTCATAATAACAATGTTTAGGCCTCAATATTTATTAAAACTAGTGCCAATTAAATATTATCGACCATTGGTTTAGAAACACGACAAAACATGAAACATATGCAGTAGCTATGTAAAAAGTAGTCGTAAATTGCCTTCTCACCCGAATAAATCACATCATTCATGTAAGAACTATGGACCCTTGTTGGTAATCTATCATTACTAAGTTTATACATTAGGTTTATATATAATTATGATTCTATAGTCTTAGGATTTGTGATTCCGCTTTAACTCATGTTCCTTGTTTGGTTGTGGGCTTAGGGTAGAACCACTTATTCGACTATTTGTTTGATCTTGATTATATACGACTTGTATACACCAAGTGATTATAGAAGGACCTAGTATGGATAATACCATGAAATTTCATTACTATTTATCGAAGCCCTTGTACTACCAGTACTTACCCAATTGCGGGACGAAATTTCCTTTAACGGGGAGGTAATGTGAGGAGGAACATAGACAACATTTGCAATTAAAACCATATATTACTGCGAAGAGAGAAACATCACGCAAAGTTCTCGAAGCTCGAATTCTGGTTACGGAAGGTAGACTTCCTAGGAGCATGTAATCAGCAAAGAAGGAAGCACTGTGAGTGTAACACCGTAAATTTCAAGGCAAAATTTTCATTTAAATAATCAATTTAATATTAAAACACTTGTTTAAAATCTTATTCCTATTCGGATTACAAAACAAAGTTTCATTTTCATTTGATTAGACAACCAGGATCCTCCAAGATACAACTCTTCCTTCGGTGTGTACAATCGAACCGTTGCCATTCCGCGTTACTGAAAGAACCTGAAACAACATAACATAAACACTGTAAGCACGAAGCTTAGTGAGTTCCCCAATATACACCTTACGCACATACGCCTTTCCAGGCCCTGACCTTCCGGTCCCTGCACAATGCCTTCCGGCCCATGAGATAATTGCCTTCCGGCCCATAACGTGTTGCCTTCCGGCCCATAACATATTGCCTTCCGGCCCATAACATATTGCCTTCCGGCCCAAAAACATATACAGCACACAATACATTTACTCTAACACATAAAGCACATATATCATATATCATACCTGACCTTTCTGCCACATAACACTTTGCCTTCCGGCCCATACATAAACATGCATATCACGCGTAGCAACTAACTTTCCATTTATAGCATATAAACGTAACACATAACATATTCGACCTTTCGGTCACACAATCAAACCCTTCCGGGTACAGTATAGTGAGAGAACTCACCTCGTGGATGTTGGAAGTTAGCAACTCCTGAAATCACTTGCACCTGATCCGCCGAGCTACAAGCTCCCTGAATGATGTACCTTCTGTGTCCCCAAACTTCAGAACTCGAATCCCTTGCAGTTACTTTAGCCAAAACCCTTCTCCTCCTTGCACAACAATTCCTTCAAGGTCACCAATGGCCTACAAGCTTGCTCTAGATGCCACAGCCGCTTAGGGTTCCTCTCAATCGACCAAAAAGACGAGCAATGACGGCATAAGATCCCTTATATACGACCCAAAACTGAACGGCTAGGGTTTTTCGCTGAACAGCGTCGACTCGCCGAGTCCATATCTGGACTCGTCGAGTCCAGTCGCGAACCCGCGACCAAGTCTGCGACCCTACTCGGCGAGTCTGGCTCCAACTCGCCGAGTCTCCCCTTTAAAACACCCCAAAATGTGATTTAACAATACTTTGAGATTTCGGGTTGTTACAATTCTCCCCCACTAGAAACAGACTTCGCCCTCGAAGTCTCACTCTGAAAATAGTTCAGGATGCTGCTCCCGCATCTCACGTTCCGACTCCCCAGTCACTTCCGATCTCTTCCGAGGTTACCACCGAACCAACACCAGAGGTACCTCCTTGTTCCTCGGAACCTTGATCTTCCGATCCCTGATGGCCACTGGCCTCTCAGCGTAACACAGGCTCGCATCCACTTAATTGTTCTTTAGTGGAACTACTGCTGGCTCA